AGAAATCTGAAATAATCTGTCTGTTTTTCCGCACTCTATAAAATTAAGCTAATGAACACCACAGACTCGCCGTATAACATGCAAATACATGTCGGTATGCCTATCAATAATCTCTTTTCTTCTTCACATTAGTAGGTTGATCAGCTTATTTCTGTATGATGACAACACTCGGCATACTCCTGTATTTTCCATTTGATAAAACATGTTTTACTGTTGAGAAAATGAATATTCTTATATCACTTCAGACGATGATCGCAATGTTGATTTATTGATTGATTAAATGGTACATTATGTTCACAAATATCTGTCACCTGTTGACAAGAAAATATTGATGAACGAATAGACAAACAAATGTTTAGCTCTCGTATGAAATGAGTTGATCTATTAGTCTCCCATTGAGTTATCATTTCAAACAATTAGCATAACAAATCGGCTCGAGATGTGAAACGATACTTTCGTTTTCTTTTCTTTGTGTATATTAATCTATCGCATAAGTCTATCCAATGAAATAGATTGTGCTTTCCATGTTAAAAGATTAGTGGACGAAAAGAAATTCGTGTTCAGAGTTTAAATACGGAGATTACCTAGCGTGATAGTCTCATTCGAAGAAAGAAATGGAAGATCATTGCAGTGTCAGTCCATCAAGTGTTGCTTCAAGTTATGAAGAAACGGATTTGATATCGACGAATACTCATGAACAGCTATTCAAGTATAACATTCGTCACTTTTCAGTGTTGATATCATTTCTCGCTTTTGTTGTTGGTTTAGTGCAGCATTGGTATGTAACTCAATGCGTTCGAAAACATCAGTAGTCCGGCACAATTTCAAAAGTATCGAACAACTCCTTTCGCCTACACCTGTTTTTCATGACAAAAACAGTAAGATAAACAAACGATTTGTCTAAAACGAAACAACTTATTTTTCTGTAGACGACACAGGTTATGATTCGCTCTTATCCATTTGTTCGCACAATCAATGCGATGATGAGGATGAATTGAAAAATCTCCAGCCGAAAATATCTTCTACTCCATACATTAGAAAAGAGACGAAAGTAAAGAAACCTCGTACGGCATTTACCGACGATCAAAAACAGTGCCTCGAGCGGTTTTATTCTCTCAATCGTTATCCGGATCCATCCCAGATGGAAGCTTTGTCACAATTATTATCACTAGAAGAACGAGTTATTCGTGTCTGGTTTCAAAATAAACGATCACGAGAAAGAATTTATCCGAAATTTGTCTACGATCTCGAATAGAACTCTCCTATTTTATATGATCTTCACAGTGTATCGTTCATGTTGCTTTTTTCATCATAATAAACGTCAGAATTTCAAGAAACATTTATTCGTTCCACTCATTTTATCAATCTTAGAACAAACCAATGTTCACATGTATAAACAGATGTTTCAAATAGGTATGTTCATGTTCGCGGTGCTCCATGTGCATCTGGCATACGTTCAATTGTATAACGATGACCATGCAGATACATAATTGGTACACCAGGAATTTTCCGTATGCGTCGTTTCAATTCTCGATCACATGTAGCGACAATGTAGCATTTATGTTGTGTGACACGTTGAACAATGCAATCATCAGCATAGGTTCCTTTGTGTGAGCATGGTAAACGTTCAAAGCGAGGATCTTTAGCAATTCGTAATGCGACACGATATTTTGTACCTAGTTTTTCGATTTCACCCATGACACAATCTGTTATATACGGTGTGCATTTGGCATAGAGACAATCCATCATTGATTGAATGATGTCGAGTTTGACTTTGATAGAGAAGTTGATAAAATTTGTATCGACTAAGATATGATACGGTGGACCTTGAAGATGTAGACAAGTAGGAAATGCATACAGGTGAAAGACGTTGAATACATACCGAGTTGAGTATTGTACCGGAAGAAGAGTGCTGATGTGACTGGTGCAACTTGTTTCTCGATAATCTCTCCAATGTTCTTCTTTTCTTCTTTTTTCTCGTGATTTTTGGGTTTCACACGATCTTTTGCTTTTAATCGTGCATCAGTTAACTTGATCATGCGTTTCATTTCGGCAAAACGTTTCTGACCTTTTGGACGAGTCATGATGGAGACAGTCAAACAATCTAAAACTGATACATATAAGTATACTCATTTAGACAAATGCGAATGGTCATTTGACATCGAAAAGCAAACAAAATGGGAGAGCAAACGGAAGAGAAATTTATTCTCCGAAAGAAAAAGAAAAGCAATTTCGTTCATCACTATGTCTTGGCATTTTTATCATCAGCAACGTAAGTCAATAGAACATCGCCTTTCTTCACGACTTTACCAACCGCAGCGTTAATCTTTCCGACAATACCATCTTTGCTTGCTTTAATAACATGTTCCATTTTCATGGCAGTCATCACTAACAATGGTTGTCCTTTGGTGACTTTTGCACCGTCTTGAACAAGAACTTTATCAATGATGCCTGGCATAGGGGCAACGGGATCACCCGATATAACAGACGAACCAACAGCACCGCCCATACCCGATGAAACAAGTTGAGCAAGAAACGATGGTGGACGAAGTTTGAAATCAAATGAACTACGACTAACATTCGAATAGAATGTACATGTGTCACCATCGATGTGCATGCGACATCGAAATTGATGACCATCGATGAGAAGAACAAGTTCGTCGTTGACAGAGCGAATTTCTACTGGATATGTTTTATTGTCGTAAGTGACAAGTAAATTTGAACTATTAATACGTTCGATTTCGAACTTATACTCTAAAAAAAGAAATTCTTAGAGATGATACTTTTAGTTGCTGATGACGTCTTTACCTTTCTTATCGTAAGTTAGTGACAATGATTGTTTCTGTAAGAAATTCGGACGAAAGGAACTATTAGCCACTGAAAATAATGTTGGTGCACCGCCTAAAATGGCAAAGAGAGAATGGAATTTACAATACTTAATTCGAATTCGAACTTGAATTATAATGGATTTGTTGTTGAGAATTGATAAATGCAGAAGCAGCAGCAACGGCGATAGTTGGTGTTATTTGTTGTAGATGAAATAGAGCATCTTTGTTCTCTTTGATGAAGTCGGTGTGTACATTTCCCAATTGAAATTGTTTATTATCGCATAGAGACATTAAGAATGGAATATTCGTTTTCAAACCACCGATCTAATTTCCAATGAGAGAACGATTCGATTCGAACAATTCAAACGAACTTACATAGTACTGTTGTAGGGCATTACGAAGTTTTTGTAGAGCGCTTGTGCGATTCGTTGACCAAGCGACTAGTTTGGCAATCATCGGATCGTAATGTACAGATACTTCATCACCTTCAACGACACCGGTTTCAACACGAATTTTACCGTCTTCACCTGTTGGAGGTGTTCGAAGATAAGTCAATCGACCACTACCAGGCATGAATTCGTTTTCTGGCTCTTCAGCATAGATACGCGCTTCGAATGCATGGCCACTAAGTTTGATCGCCTCTTGCTTCATTGGTAAAACTTCCCCTTGAGCAACTTTGATTTGCCATTCAACAAGATCGGTACCAGTGATCATCTCGGTGATCGGATGCTCGACTTGTAAACGAGTATTCATTTCCATAAAATAGAAATTCTGATTTTCGTCCATGATGAACTCGACAGTTCCTGCACCGACGTAGTTAACCGCACGAGCGGCTTTGACAGCAGCTTCGCCTAGTTTCTTACGTGTTGACCAATCCAAACCCGGCTAAAAAAAGAAACCAAAGGCCAATAGAAGTTCTTTCTTTGTTCAATGTTCTTACAGCAGGAGCTTCTTCTATGATTTTTTGATGTCTTCGTTGGACGCTACAATCACGTTCAAAAAGATAAACATAATTTTGATGCATATCACCAAACACTTGTACTTCCACGTGACTGAAGGATGCAAAATTAAATTTAGAAATATTCATTTTACGATATCTACCGAGGACGTTGAATAAATTTCTCGAGTAAAACTGAATCGTCATTGAACGATTTCTTTGATTCAGACTTGGCTTCGTTCAATTTATCCACAAATTCACTTTCGTGCAATGCGATACGCATACCCTAAAGTAGATTCGTGCCTAGCATTGAGTCGAGTCTCGGAACCCATATCGCACTTACTTTTCCTCCACCTCCTCGTACAGCTTTAATCATGATCGGATAACCGATTTTCTTCGCTTCGCTGATCAGTGTTGCATCTGATTGATCTTCACCATGATAACCAAAAATAACCGGAACATTCGCGTCATGCATAATGATTTTACTTAAATTCTTAATACCCATATCGCCTAGAACCCATCAAAGGGTCAATAAAAGTAAATGAAACATTAAAGAAACGACTTACGAATTGCATTTGGTGGTGGACCAATAAATATGAGATTATTTTCTTTACACATCGTACAGAATTCATAATTTTCAGAGAGAAAGCCATAACCAGGATGAATCGCTTGTGCATTGGTCTTTTTAGCTGCATCGATAATTCTGTCTTTACGTAGATAACTTTGCAGAGCAGCTGCTGGACCTATATGAATGGCTTCATCAGCCTGCAACGATCGAAGAACGTGGTGAGTTATAGAAAATGAAGTTTAATTTTCGACATACCATTCGAACATGTAGCGAATCTCGATCTGCATCCGAGAAGACAGCAACCGATTGGAGGCCAAGACGTTGCGCAGTGCGAATAACTCGGCAGGCAATTTCACCACGATTGGCAATAAGAATTTTACTGAAGGTCATCTTAATCGTCTGAGATTTGTTCTTGGATAGTAATTATGAGAGAAAGATCATATCTGATAAATAGACAATTATCAATAAATTTTTTCTTTTCTTCTTCTTCAGAATTAAAAAAAGGAATAGAATGAAGAGAAAACAAGAATATATTCACAGAAAAAAAAAATTTGCTTTTCCTTCTTTAAAAAAAAAGAAACATTGAAATACTTGATTGCACTCACGGATACAAAATAGAAAAAAAAAGAAATGAATTGAACACAAAAGAAAGGTAACAGAAGAGCTATTAAAGTTTCATCGTATCAACTTCTTGGTAGATACGATTCGTAGTTGGTTGTTGTTCAATTGTTTCAATAACAGTAGCATATCGTTCGGACAAATCATCACCTATTCCACTGCCAGCTGTCGGTCGAGAATAGTAGTGGGATTGAGGATTGGGATGTACTGTACCCGAGGCACTTCCATTGGCTATTTCGGCATAAAGATCACTGCCAGTGGTTGTACCTCGTTCACTATTTACAGATGAATAATAGTTTTCACGCATTTGTTGTTGCTGTTGTTCTTCCATTTGTAAACGTTGAGCGCGGTATTGTAATGATTCACGTGTGATAACTTCATCATAGTGAGGACGACGACTAGAATCATTACTATTTACAATTGGATTTCCGTAGACTTGAGGTAGAAGTGGAGGTAAAGGTGGTGGGGGAGGAGGAGGTGGAGGTGGGTGTTCTGGTGGAGCTTGTGAAGTCATCGTATAACCCGTTAGATGTGAACTTGGAGAAAATATCGCTTGTGGAGATGAGGAACTAAATAGATTGCATGATTAACGATTGGTAATAATCTTCACTAGACTTACGCCGTCGTCGATGCTGGTGATGAACCTTGTCGAAGAGCAGCAGCAATTGCAGCTGTGGTATTGGGTGTAGTTCGAATGCCACCACTTGCGCCCGTTCTTGTCTTATCAACAGTTGCATAAAGTTGTGTATCATCGTCAAATGATTGTTGTTGTGATCGAATCGGTGTTAGTTTTGTATACCCGCCATACTCCATAGATGCAGTTGAATCTCGATAATCACCGCCGACACGTATTTCACCATCACCTGACGAACCAATGATTTTTTCGTAATGTGATTCTAATGGAACAATCGAAACATCAGATGACACTGGAAGAGGTGCTAATGTGACAGTTGTTGTCGTTGGTATCGAAGTTACATTTCCATTATTCGACGAAACACTGTATGTAGCACGATCACGTTTAAGACAACAGCAAAATGAAAGGGTCATAATTTATCGTAGTAAACTAGGCAATCAATTAGTTATCGTTTTTCATAATCGATAAGTAAAAAATATTTCATCTGAAATAAATCGATGAGACTTATCGAATAGTTCAAAATAATATTCTTTTTGCTATCCTAAGCACACGAATACATACAAGTGAACAACAGCGACAGTTTTGCTGATCACATATTATTACGTCGAAATAGAACTCCACTAAACAATCATGGAAACGAATATTGAGCTGAGCATTTACATAACCCTAGGGTAGATTACGTGTCTTCCTATTCAATAGCTAGTCGACAAGTTTTCACAAGAAAGTTATTAAAAGCATCGAATCCCTTCTATTTCTGATGTTCGAATAAAAAAAAAACGTTAGCACTTACTGTTGGCAGATTTCAATAGTGTGACAAATACGATCGTTTGAGACGTAGATGTATCATTGGCATATTGGATTGAATATCAACAGTTGTCGAGAAGTATAATCTACACTTTTAGATATTCATCTAGAAGAATGTCAGATGGTAAGAAAACATTCCTAAATATGCCTGTTTATTGGTATTGTGTAAATAAATAAAGAAAAACGAACAACAACGAAGTTTTCTTTTGACTAATGTCGAGCGACTCGGGTGATTTTGGTTTTTCCACCCTTTTTGGCATCACTCTGTTCGTCCTGATCACCACCACGTAGTTGAGCATACGGCGGAAAGAAATACAACATGAATCCTTTATATATCGCATAAAGTGGAATCTGAAAACAATAATGACGTAAATCAATACATACAAACTGAAGATACGTACGGCTGAAAGTAACCACCAGAGATATCGATGGATTAAACTAGCAGATTGTGCAATAACGATTGCAAGTATAATGTCTTTTGCATATCTGCGTAGAAGTTAGACGATTGTTTAAATGTTATTGAATATGAAAATGATTATTCATACTCGGAGATGCTGCCGTTCAAATTCAAATCGGTGACACTACCACCTGATTTCGATGTTCCCCATTGCTTCATAAATGACCAAACGTACCATGCTGCAGCAGACGATATACCAAAAAGAATCTAAGGAACATGAACATTTTAAATAAGAGCCGATTCGAAAACATGGTTGTACTTACAAAAGAAGCTATTGAAAATCCAGTAATAAAATAAAAGATGAAATGAACAGCGAGAAAAACGCCCTAAGAATAATCAGACTTCAATTACTGTAAGAAAAAAAAGGTAAATATCTTACATTCGCTATCGTTAAAATTTTCTTGTAGAATTCAATTGTCTCTACATTTTCTTTAAGAATTTGTGCATCACCTTTAGTCCCCTGTTTGCCTTTCTTCTGTAAAAATGAAAAAAAATGTCATGACTCGTGTCTTCTCCAAGATCGTATTACAATCAATATACCTTTGGACTGCTATTTCCAGCCAACCCAAACATCTGAAATAAGACGAATAAATGCTTAGTGAAATTCTTTCATAACTCTCTTTTGTCAGATGACCCATGGTCTATCTAATAGTGATTGATTTGTTTGCTCTTCATCGATGCAACGATTTCATCGGTAGAATGTCGACAACAAATAAACTCTTAGTATATATTCGATGTATTATAGAGGGCGCTAGTGATAGACTGTCTTCTTTATGTAAAACATTGATGAAAAGTGAATAGATACAGAAAAAGAAATTTAGTTGTCAAATTCAATCGTTAATGTTTTCGCGTCACTCTTGCAAGATAAAATCATTCGTTCAGGCAACTTTCTTATTGTTTTTCCTTTTATGCCAAAATAATCAAGTTCTATGGTACCGCACGAAACGAGAAGGTCTGCTTTTAATCTATTTTTTGCAATGGAACACGAGCCCCATGCGTATCCGTTCGACCAGAAGAAGACGCCTGTCTTCTCACCGAATTCCATCGTTCGTGTAACAGCTGAATAATGGAAACCTGACCAGGCTAAAAGTGTCGCCCAGCTTGTCATCGAGCGTCCATAATGATGTCCACATTCAGGTTCGCTGAACGGATTGCGTTTTAAACCGTCGAAACGGTCTCGAATACTTTGAACACACTTTAAGCCTTCGTCATTTTGATTTTCATAGATCATATTACATGCAGCTGTATATTCAAAGCCAGTCATTGATTCTGAAAAATATGGAAACGGATATTTCAAACGTCCACGTGGCCACGATGCCATTAGAAGTCCACTTTCATTTCCCAGAACGTACGAACGCATGTTATTGAAATGTTCATTGAATGTATCGAGATAATTATATTTCAAAATACTTCGACACGTCGTGCTTATGTTTTCAGGTTTACCAAGGTAACCCAAATGGCATACATGTGCCATCATTTGACCGACCAATTGATCAACAAGACAGCCTTTGCCAAGTTGATAATCAGGAACATTCGGATCATCATCCGGAATGAACTTTCCGGTTTTAGGATCAATAATTTTTTGTTCATAATATTCTCCATTGAATAAGTTACCATCCACCCATGCACTACCATTTGCGAATAAATATCCGCATTTACTAGCAAAAGTGCTATCACCGACATAGGATGCCATCATATAGGCAGCACGAAGAGCACCTAAATACCAGAAGTTACATTGAGGATTTGGACCTAAAAGTAGTTGCTAGTAGTGTTAATCGTAAATACTTCGGTACATCATTGTTACCATAGTACGTCACGTCCATAGTATTTGGTTGAGCACCTTCTTCGACACCGTCTTGATCAGCATCCCAACTTTTCGGTTGCCATGCAAAACCTAGAACTTTTTTGACTAATTCCCAATTTTTCTTCAGAAATTCATCATCACCGGAAAGCTATGAACGAAAAGCAAGGTAAAGAAGTCTGTGAATTCTTGTTATTTTCATTATTTACTTGCCAGTCACGATACATTTTCATTACACAGCCCATTTGTCCATCCTAAACCGTAAACCAATCACAATACTCTCGATTTCTAATTCTCAAAATGTTCATCTTACTGCTGCAGTTCCAGTTCGTGTTTGTGGATTAGTCAATGGAAGTTGCACTCGAAAATTCATCGCCCCATCATCTTTAAACGTCGCATAATTCAACTCCACGTCTCGCATAGTTTTCGCAAGTTCACCAAAAAGAAATCCAACAGCTTGTTCATAATTCCACACATGTGTACACGACCCATAGCACGAACCAAATATATCAAAAATTCCTTCCCAAGCCATTAAGTGTCCATCCGCAATACGAAAAACAGTCTGTGAACGAAGTGTGGCCAGATTAAACAATGCCGCTTCTTTCAACACACCTGGATAATCACTTGCCAAAACCAGGTTGACAAATTCTAGCGTATTCGACTCTAAATCGGGAAGTAAAGGTATTGTTCTGACACATACGTCCCATGCGTCCTTGTATACGGTGGAATAGTAATTGCCAACAACAGTTGATGACCAGGCCATTCGATTAGGAAAATTCCAAGTAATAAAAAATGGATAAAGTTCAGTTGCTCCCGGTGCAATTTGCTTTTTCAACGCTAAACTTGCCATTGGATTATCATCAACTAGTTGCCCTTTATCATGTAATGTGCCATCAGTGCTAAACTTTACAAAAGAAAAGAGCAGAGTCAACCGAGAAAAACCTCGATGTCGAATATTCCATACTTACATCATCCCAAAAATCGAGAATAGCATGATACCAGGCATTGTCAACGGATGACAAGCGATAAGTAACATTTGCGTCGGGTGAATCGGCTAATGTTGTTAATGCAATTGTTCCCCATGCTGGATCTTTTGGATCAACATTTGCCGAGTTCATATAAATGCCTTTCAATTTCCCTTGTAAATCTTCTCGATACACATTTGTGTTCTTTTTCGCACCAGTCGGAACATAATCACCGTCCCAAGCAATAAAATATTTACTTCCATCTTGTCCGACAAAATTCCTCATCGATCCACATACACTGACATCTAATACTTCGTTCGTGATGTTTCTCACTTCGTAGTAAAGAATAGCTATCGGAATACCACTGGATTCAGCATCCGTGGGAATGAACGGATTAAAACCTTTGATAGAAACTTGAACCTATGAAAGACGATTCTTCCATTTGAAAGCAAGAAGAAATATTCATGTCTATACGTACGGGCATCTTCTGATCGGATAGGTTAACGATTCCAAACGGATAAGCAGCATCAAACGATGCTTGTTCAAACCGTGGTAAACCGTGATTATTACAAGCGCGCCCTTCATAATGCAAATATTCTGTCGGATGAACAGGACCGATTAACGCTTTAGTCATTTTCGTTGATGTCGATGATTGATTAACAAAAATGGAAAAGAATGGCGCATCATTACCAATCGTCACTGTACTATACTTTTTCGCTGGCTTATTAGCAATTTCCCAATCGCGTAGTTCTCCTCGTCCACCTAGACTAACCGTACCTGTACCAATACCACCCAGGGGAAGAGCGATATTGTACAAATGATCTTGATCGTAGTGTTTCAATATCGGCCATGCTTGACTAAGATTTTGTGTTAACGATGAACACATAACTAGAAGAATAGAAATAATATCCACCCATCTTTTTTATGTTCGGTAGTTTTTTATAGCAACAAGATAGATAAGTTTATCTAAATGTTTGTTGTCTTTTGATATATATATATATAGATAACACACATACACTCGAACTGTATATATATATATTACAAGCGAGAAAATAAAAGTTAAATAGATGATGCATCACATATTAAAAACTATTAGAAATTTGCTAATGCTATTGATTGTCTTGTTCGTCTTCTAAAGAACAAACAAAAATAACGGATGAAGTTAGCGATAGATGTGTTTATGTATAAATACCATTCTCGTTATCACTCGTGGAATTATCGTTATTTGTCAGTGCACCAGTTGGATCATCTTCGGTAATGGATAGGCGATTGATATCCGCCATTTGTAACAACTGGAAAGGAGAATCAGAATGTTGTTACCACTCAGAAATAACTCACTGAAATATTGCTCTCGATAGGTGATGGTGGTATATCGGATTTGATCAAAACAACATCTTCATTATCGCTCGTATGACTTTCATCGTCTTCCTCATCTTCTTCAGTGTCAATACGAACGATCGATGGCTGGGAATGTGTTATCGGCTCGATTTTCCTAAAGAAATACAGGAATCACCTGCGTATCGATCGATTGTAATCAATTCAATTACTTGTAGTAATCCAAAACAACTTGTCGAATTCGTTCAGTTAGCTCCAAGACTTTGTGAAATGCCAATTTCTTGCAAATTTCGACTTGCTCTCTTTTCAAACCTAACTTTCCTCCCATATGAATGCCACATATTTCCTTATGTTGATTCATTGAGATTGAAACAAATCCATCCATGAAACGTTCTTCATCGCAATGCGGATCAATCAGAGTGATCCGTCTGAAAATCGAAATGTACTCAGTCATTTTCGGATTCTACCGATGAACTGTACCCGTCGATAAAGAACGCAAATAGAACATTTATTGGAAAGTGAAGAATACGTAGTGGATGTGGCCGACGTTCGACGGATGAATACTATTAACCGGAAAATTCATGTCAAGACCCGTAAACAATCATCATAACGAAACAAACCATACGGATGTCCGAACCATGAACAGAAACTTCGGGTAAACTAAATCAGCGACATTATGGAGAATGAAGAGAAAAAAATCTCTTCGCTTTCATACCGATAATGATACAACGAGCAAAGTGTCGCTATATTAGCACAGTCGAGAATGTTTCCACAGTTGTTTAGTACAGTGAGATCGATTTTGATTGACCAAACCTTGAAGCAAAAGAATGAAAACAAAATTTTCTTTCTAAAATATCGATTATACTAGTTCTCCAGCATTAATACACAAAGACTCTAAATCAACACAATTTGATTGGCGAATATTTTGTTCGAGAATGCCATTTAGTTCTTGTACAAATTCCTGATGTCTTCATAGCAAAGAAGAGAATTTCTTCAACATCGAAGTGTTCATTCTTACTTCCAATTTTCGAGATTTATCAATGGAATTTTCGACATATCAAGATGAATGCGAATGTTTCCTTCCGACGCCCGCGATTCTTTCGGTTTAGTGATTCGACACGATGCTTGAGCAATCACACTAAACAATCTCATTCATATCAAAGAATACATGTTTTCCAAAAAGAGCTTACTGCGTTTGACCGAGAGTAACTGAAACGTAGCCAGGATGCGAACGAAAGTCGATATTAACTGATCGAGTTTCATCAATCGTCCGACAATCCAAACGCTGAGAGAGAGAGAGGGAGATTCAACTAATCATTGACATCCAATTTACTCACTTTTCGATCTCGAATACATTTCAGTATCACACCTCGTTCAATAGTTGAACAAATAAATTCTTTCATCTAAAGAACGAAGAATATCTAGAGCATAGTTTGCTTCTCTTATCAGACAATGGATTATTTCATCATTAACATATTAAAATACAATAAAAAATAAAAATGTTTTCAACAAAATGACTATTTCAAACATAGAAGAAAGATAAACTCTATTTAGAAGCTTTTAATTCGTTATCGATCTGATCGAATAGTTCTTTGAATTTTTCCCACTGGTCACCAGCTAAACTGATACCTAAAGAATATCTCAGTGCAATTTTGTCATCAAACGAACATCTCCTACCTTTTCTCCCAGGTTTTCGTATGCCGTTATCATCATAATATTCACGAATGTTAATATAGGGTTTACCTCGAAATTGACTGACCGACACAAAACGTAATTTGCCAATCTAGGAATAGATCAGAGTTCTTAACAGTAACGAGCAAGAAGTTTTGTTTACTTCGTAAAGTCGTTCACCATTGGGACCAGTCGTTGAAGGCACTGTTGTATCCTCCTCATTTGGTTTGGTTCGTTTTGCTGGGGGCTGAAAAGATCTTCTTGAGAAAGAATTACATATCAGATGGATTGACTTACTTCATTTTCGCCATTGGACTTCTTTCCTTTAGACTTTTTCGATGGCTCTTCGTCACTAGTTGACTTGTTATCGTTATTCGAACTTTTTGATTCTTCTGAATCGGAATCTTCCAGACGTTCCTTGGATTTTGGCATTGTCAATTCTGTACAATAAATGTCAATCTGAAATTGAAATACAAACAAAAGAACTGTTCATTTTCTTTGAAATTCAACAACTAGCAATCGTTCAATTAACGTTCGTCGTTTGAGAACAATCTCCGCACTCAATCCATACTGATCACTAAACTCGCTCAACATATCAAAATCATTTTCTTCCAATGCTACCATATAAAATAAGCCTTTCGGCGATAGTAATCGACTTGCTTGTTCGATTGATCTTTGAATTACTTCGATACCTTGCTCTCCACCTGCAAACGTTCGATCGATCATTTCTTCCACATCCGCTGTCTCAGTTGGAACGTAAGGTGGGTTAAAAAGTAACAGATCAACCTTCGAGGTCAAACGATCGATTAATGGATCAGCTAAATTACATTGTACGAGATTTAAACACTGCTTGTCATCGACATGATTATGCTGAAATGTTCGTTTCGTTGAATAACACGCATGCGGATTCATATCGATAGCGAAAAACAAAGATGGCGACTGACAGAAATGTTTAGCCACAAAAGTTGTCGCGATCCCCGAACCGGAGCCAAATTCTAAGATAATGAACGGGTTTCGTTCCTGGATCTTCTTGAACTTCGATTCCAGTGCGTCAAGAAGAAGAAACGAATCAGCGTCAGGTTCATAGATTCGACTATAATCATCTCGTGTAAAATGAATTAAACTAGGCGTCGGAAACATTTTTCAAAAGAGAAGAATGAACGATGCCTTTATTTATTGACTGAAATCCACGTTTCACCCATACGTCGATTATGAAACATCGTTTTCAATAGATGTCAGTCGTTCTTTTCATACTCAAGTGTCGTCCGAATGTTTCGAGATATTCTCTTTCGTTCTAGTGTCTATTCATCATCGATCGGAAACGAAAAACAATCTCACACCTTGTTAGTGATCACACGTTCGTGAAGTGTATACTCCAATGTCTGATTTATTTTCCTCCATCGTTTTTATGTTGCCATCTTATTGACAAGTAAAATGAATTAAGCCACACCTTTTCGACAATAGCAAGCACAGTCAGTGGTCACCCTTGTTCACATGTATATCATTGAGTCTCGCCCTTCATACTTAAGGTTTCTTAATCAAACTTTTTCGTATTCCATGTTGATGAAGGCAAGGTTTCCTTTGAACATGTGTACATACGCCGCACGTCGACTGAGATTGCTTGTCGTATGGATACGATATGAAACTGTTATACGTATTCAATATTGATTCAGTTCTCTCGCGTTTGTTTTGACACTGGAGAGCGATGAGAGAAGGATTAACTGGGTGGATGATTAGTATTTTTGACTTTAATACAAAGAAAAAAAATAAAATAGAAAAACGATAGGAGCTGCCAATTGACAGGAAACAGAGACGAAAGAAACGCGCGCGCACATTCAAGTTGACATTTCCGTTCATGTACATTTATTCAGCTGTCTGAAATTCCGTCGTTACTCAGCATGAGATCGCCACATCACGTCAAGACATCCTTTTGGACTTTTTTTTTCAAAAAAAAAATTCAAGAAAACAACAAGAAAAGCTGAATATAGACTGACAAAAGGCAAAAGAGATGAAAAAAGAAAGCAACGACTGTTATACACACGCGTACACCCACCCACACACATATTTATATATAAAACGAATTAATTCCACGAATGATCAGTAAAGGCATTTCCGCCGGTTGCGATCACGGACGATGCTAACGGCGGTGTACTACTAAAACGTTGTTGTAGATCGTCTGAATCACCTGCTGACGAATCAGGTACTGTCCCTGATTCAGGATGCATTGCATATGATAGATCTAAATAATTGAAGTCGAATAGAAATGAACTTTCTTTCGATATATTTCTTTTCTTACCACCAGTTGGTCCATAATTAAGTCTTTGATGTAACTCTTGTTGCATCATAAAATCATTATAGCTCTGTGTCGACGGTGGCGGTGGTGGAGGTCGTTGGTACATAAAATCGCCTTGAAATCCATCTGATGAAACGGACATAAACAATTTCCTTCATCAAGTTTGTCACGCAGATAATAAAGTCTCCTTACCTGGTAAATAATTCAAACCCGGATGAGGCATCATTTCATCGTCAAATGGTCGGCCGGATGTAACACGTCGATAATAGTGTCGTCGTGATCCACCGCATGTGATCGACTGTTTGATACGTCGCTCTTTCGAACGACGATTTTGAAACCATACTTGAATGACACGCATAGCGAGCCCAGTTTCACGTGCTAATTCTTCACGGATATGTCGCGTCGGTTTCGGGGTTGCTGCGAATGCTGATTTCAATTGTTCGAGTTGTTTCGTCTTGATTGTCGTACGTGGCCCACGTTTTTTCGGTCCATTTGAATTACCATTATCATTTTGATCTAAATTAGATTTTTTCTGATGATATGACGATGATGAACAAGTACTTGATGAATTGTTATTATTATTTGTATTAGTTAAACATATTTGATCATCATCTTTGCAATCTAATGAACAATCCGACATTTGCGTATCGCCATCATCTTCTTTCAAACAATCCGACGAGCTTAGATTCGAATTTGGTGTCGATGTTGATGGTTGTATGGTCTGTGATTTGAACGATGAATTTTCCTTATCATAGTCATGTTCACTTTTAATTTTGTGATCATTTTCATATTCATCTTGACATTTCATTCGAGCAGCGAAATCTTCTTTGCACATGAAACGATTGTCATGTGTCAAATGTATTTCTTCTCCCGTGTTCACTTTACGCAAACATAAACAACATTTATAACAATCCCAATGATAAAATTGATCCCAAGCACTCAAGTAATATTCACCTTGACTAATTTCTTGTAAACAACCTGAACAACGACGACACCAGTAACGTCTGAAAAGAAATCATGCATTCGATAGATTATACTCTTCGAAAAGAATTACCGATAGAAATCTTTGTGACAATAAAGTTTTCCTTCACGTGTGTAACATTTTTCAGTTAACAATTGATCACAATCCACACAGCGTAGACAATGTCCATGCCAAAGACGGTCTAATACTTCATAAATCCATTGATCTTGAATAGCTTCGTGGCAAGCAGCACACACTGAGAACGTCATCTAAATTAATAACTTTTCCTTTTTAAACTTACTAATAGAAGATTAAACTCGTTGACTAATCTTCAAATAAACGAACAAAAGCTTAAGGCATATCAAATTGATTTTTCTTCCCTTTAGAATAGGAAAGCGTTTGATTCTCAGGTTCGCTGTCTTCTTTCAAGAATCTCGCAATCTATCTCCTACGTTTGCGTTAATGACTCATTGGATTCTTTCAAAAACGTATCCTTTTACCAAATGATGAAACGAATATGAATGGTCACGGCTATTTCATGGTTTGATGAGGCATGGAGAAACAAAACAGAACAGACAGAAAGTATTTGCTTGACACATTTCATGCTAGAGAGAAAAAAGAGGAGAGGAGGAGAAGATGAAGACGTGCGATTCGCATACTATACGATAAAATGCGTAAAAAAATATCTGTTTGTTTCTCGATTGACAATTCATTTCGTAAAATACACGTCTCGAGTAGATAAATCTGCTTCATACGCGAAGCCAAGCATTGATTCATTTATTCATTCATTCAGTAACTAGCTACTTGAGTTTCCAATTCTTAACTTCAATGGCTTTTTTTATTGACAATCGAATGAGCAAGACAAAAAAGCTCGAGATGTGAAATTGGGAATCACTAGTAGAAAAAAAAAATAAACATTTACGTCGTGCGATCATCGTACAAGCAAGACAAGGAACTGATGTGGATACGATACAAAGCTAAGTCAAGCAAAAGAAGTCGTTTTCTTTCTAGATATTCAGTGTAAGTACACACGCGTATCAATGCTCACTTTAATTCATCAAATGTTGTTTTGATTATGTAGTAAGATGAAGATCTGCAAACAAGATCAGGTAGAGAGAGAGAGAAGGTATTGTACGTTGCTCTTTGATGAAGAACAAGAAAAAAAACACTCTTACTTATACGAAAGAAGGAAAGAAATAAGTTGCTTCTTTTCTTTCTATTGGATGTTAGCATTCTTTTCTCGGTCGTTTGTCGACGAACCGGCTAGAGAGAGAGAGAGGGAAGAAAAAGATGCAAGTAAAGAACGATCAAGTATACACAAGAATGATGAGACGAAAAAGAAACCAACCAACCAAATAATAGAGTAAAATAGTTCTCGATTCTTCAGAGAAGCAAGAAGAAAAAAAGACGAGAGAAGTATGAGGAATTCCACTGACTGAACACAATACATATGAATTTTGTCTTTCTTTTCCTTGTTCTCGATTCCTGTTACGGTTGAATTCGTCAAACGTACATGTCTATCTTCTTCGTTTGACACTCGTGCGTTGTCATATGTACATTTTTAATTATCATCACTAATTTGTATGTTGACCTCCGAATAAAGACAATGATGAATCTGGTTTGTGGTAGAATTGTTTATGACGTGTACGAGAAAAAAAAAGTTTGTCTTTCATTAACAGAATGCCAGACATTAGAGACATAAATAAACACAAGAAACTATGTATAAGACTCATCACACTTTGAGTGTTTAATTATTAGTTGCCATTGGGATGGC